ATATATATATATATATATATATATATATATATATATATATATATATATATATATATATATATATATATATATATATATATATATTTTTATTTTTAATTCGGCCAATTTAATTACTCAAATTTTAATTATTATATTTACATGTTTATTATCTAGGGCTAGGGGCCTACTAGAAACCATCAAAAGCCTTTTGATTAAGACCCCTGGTTACATCATTAAGGATATTTTAAATTACAAAATAAGGATTCTATTTACAAACAAAACTAGGTGACAGTGCTTCGAATGAGGTGCAATATGATAAAGTATTTACATCTGTGCTACAGTAAATAAAATCTTATGGTTACTATACAGTATATTATTATTATTAATTCATATAAAATTTGATATTGCAGATATTGTTTTTAATTGGTAATAGTTTTTCAGTTATTTATGTAGTATTTTTTCGATTTTTTCTTGAATATATAGTAAGATGCTATATTTTCAAAGTTTAGGTCAAGATTATTCCAGATATCAACTCCATAGTTAGAGAGTGAATGTTTAACATAGTTTAATTTTTCTTTGATAATAATTTCTTATATTAGTTCGCAAAAAAATCAGGTGGTAAGTTTTTTAAGCGATGATATCTGAACATGAACAAACTGGTAATATAATCGTTTAGTTTGCTTAAGTTCAATATATTTATAGGTGTTGATATATGTTTTTAGTATGATCTAAGTGAGAGCTAAAAGGTCCAAGTTTTTGAATTCGTTTTTTAGCCTATATGTATATGTATTTCCCCAGAGAAAGTTGACATTTATATATCATGGATGATATGCAGTGTCAAAAGCCTTCTTTAAATCCAGAAACACTACTAAATTGTAGCTGATCATGACTAACTTGTGATTGCCGATCAATATTAGGGCTACAGTTGATCGCACGCGCAGGTATAGTTTTGCAATAATTTCTTCGTTGGGTATCATTATTATGATATAGAATGCTCGTCCATTTTGACACTTCGCATCTCCTTTAATCCTTTGTAATCTTTCCTTACAATAGTTGATTAATTCATGAGCTTGACTAAAGGTCGTGGGTCAAAATATGCCAAAGGTCAGAAAATTTATCTGTGACAACACTGTTGTTTATTAGATCTGAATTTTTTGCTCCTTGGGACATTGGAGAGCAGCAAAACTAAATACTTATTATAAATTGAGTTATAGTTCACGTATATATACTAAGGCGATGCCAGTGTAAGATGTATGGGTAAATATCAGGATTTTTGGGCAACTACAGAACTGCTGGGCTCTGCAGCTGCTGGACTCTGCAACTCCTCCTGGTTAGGTCTAAAAAACTACAAAACCCATCAGCAATTAATTCTATCAAGTGCCTATTATGAGGAAGTTGTCGCTGTTTACAAAGGATTAAAGGAAGTGCGAAGTGTCAATAAGGACCGGCATTCTATATCATAATAACGATACTCTACGAAGAAATAATTGCAAAACTACACCTGCACGTGCGATCAACTGTAGCCCTAATATAGATCGGCAATCACAAATTAGTCACGGTCAGCTAAAATTTGCATGAGAAATTAATAACCTTTAAGCAAAGAACTAAAGCATCAAAAGACCTCAGAATATATGCGTATGTATATATGAAATTACTCTATGATTCTTCACTTATAAAATGTAACCTACAATAGTAGTAAGTAAGTAAGTAAAAGCTTTATTTAAAGAGGGTAGCACTAAATAGCCAAGGCTAATAAACTTGTGGCCCTCATTCATAACTAGTATTAATTACATGCTGATGTTTAAAATATATACAATATTATAAGCTATTTACAAGGTTAAAAACTATGACTATAAATTAGATCGATGTATAGTTAATAATATTTGCTAATAGATCTAGATACTAAAATGATGTAAAAGTTGTTGGTCTTTGAGAATGTTACTCCGCAAATTGTTCTTGAAGCAGTTTAACGAATCCGCCTTTCTGATATTTAAAGGGATACTGTTCCACAGTTTAGTTGCAGTAACTAGAAATGTGCGTCCACCCTCAGTTTCCCTCTTATATTTAGGGCAAATGGCATTAAAATTAGCATAACGTGTGTTACGCGAGTTACGTACATTATTCAAAATAATGTAGTTGCCAAGATAGCTAGGTAAGTTATTATGTATGCGTTTATAAAAAAATGCACATTTATCAATTTTACATTGCTCGTAAAAAGGAATCCATGCTAATTCATTAAATAGAGCTACTGAAGGTGCCTGGCGATCTGCAAACATGACAGTTCTAGCAGCCCGTTTCTGAAGTTTTAAAATTCTGTTCAGTAAGATCTTATTGCAAGTACCCCAGATGGTGCTGGCATAACTCATAACTGGCCGGATGATTGCATTGTAATATTGTAGGCGTTGGTTAAGTGGCAAGTAGACCCGAATTTTCCTCAATACGGCTATGCGAGAAGCTAGTTTCTTGCACACTTTTTCGATCTGATCATCAAATGATAGTAACTTATCAATATCAAGACCCAATAAGGGTGCACTATAGACACTATCAAGAATCTTATTATTAAGCATAACATTCAGCTTCTCGTCAGTCCTGGGCGCAAGCCTTTTCCCCGTAATCAGCAGAACCTTGGTCTTGGACTCATTAATTGAAAGCTTATTTGCGTTTGCCCAATGCTGTACTTCACTAACAGAACTGTTTAGTGAAAGTTCTAAATTTGATATATTGCTGAAGTCGGAAGAGTCTATAATAGTAGTGTCATCTGCGTAAAGATCAATTTGAGAAGTTACATGTAGTGGTAAATCACGTGTTCACGCTGGAGTGGATGTCTCCATCTTCAAAGGACATAGTTATCGGGGTGCAGCTACTTCTAAGGCAGTGCCGCAGGGTTTTCAGTTGATTTAATTTTGAAAACTGCGGACTCGTCTACTGAAAGTGTGTTTACGCGGTTTTACCATAGAGACTCTATAGTTTACGAAGAGTGTTTTTCTCGTGTGGTAATAATAACTTCTTAGTTATATGCAAATAAATGTTATTCCAATGTTTGTGTTGCTTTGAACATGCATAATAAATCCTGTAGTGCGAAACGTGGTATGAGGGAGAATGAAAATTATACAAAGGTACTTACCTGCAGTTTACTCTTCTTACATGGCCCACCCGGTGCCACAAATTGTTTTTTATTAGCGTACGTTCCGGAAAGACTGGTGTACGAAGGCAGTTTGGGCGGTTGTCTACCTATGGTGAATTAGCATAACAATGGCTTTAAAGCGTGGTGACCTGGAAACTAGTGTAGGAAAATGCATAATGAATCCCTCCGTGCTCAACATGGTATTTGGAGAACCTCAATTACAATGCAGGTAAGTACCTTTGTATAACTTTCATTTTACTTCCGGCTTCGCTGATGGTGGGAAATCTGTCAGTATGAATATATAAACACTATGTCTGCCGTTCTGAAAGCATTCAATTTATATAAATTAAAACAAAAGATTTCTTTCTCAACGGAAACTTGCATTAATCATCCTCAGAAAGGTATTACTGAAGAGGAAAACATTGTTGTGACTGTCAATATTCCACACAAGTACCTAGAACAATTGTATGACTTGAAGCAAGATGGTAAGTTAACTGGCCTGTTGTACATCGAGGTTTTGAATGCATTTATATCACAGAATGCCATGGAGATAAAGCTAGACTGCGAAATAATTAATAGTACAATACGTATATATTGTGGGGAGACTAAAAACAAAAGGTTGCGAGGCCATGTAAGAACAGAGTACTTGGCGAAATCAAAATGCATTTCTCTTTAGGAGAAGGAAATTGCCAGGGTGTCCGAGGCGAAGAATGAGCTAGAAACTGCAAAGGCAGTTTGTGATACCTTGTCCAAAGAGAAAGACAATTCAAATGAGCAATGCGAGATACTATCGAAAGAGTTGTGTACATTGCAAGGAGCCAAGAAAGAGACTGAATGAAAGTTGGAATGTGTGACGGGATATCAAGAAGAGCTAAACAAGAATGAAGCACTGAAACAGTACATTGAGAAAATGGGAATCCCAGACAATTGTGAAAATACTGGAAAATGTATAGCAGATGTGGGGAAAAGGCAACAACATTGGAAAATAAAAGAACTCAAAACACAAGTTGAGAGAACTCTGTTTGCTAATACCTATGGACTGCATTTGGAGTCTTTAAAATTATCTGACACTCTGGTGCTGGATATGAATTGGAATTTACAGAAGGTGGAACCAAAAAGGGTTATAAAGATTTACCAGAAGTTGAAAAGCAGAAAATTAAAGAAGTTCTTTTGATCCAGGATACGTTTTCTGTGGGTGAAGCAGCATACCATGAGCTTTCCATGATCCCGGCAGGTCAAACCCTCCCTCGGTTGTACCTGGTTAAGCACTGCAAGGATTCCTTGAATCAGTTGTGTCACATCGAGCGAACACCAGGGAAAAATGAAGGTGCCCAGGTCAACTTTTATGATGCACTCAGGAATCCAATCCAAAATCATGTAAGTTAATCGATCAACGAAAAACAACATCCTGCATGTGTGTGTATCATTGCATATATTGCAATATAATGAAGGGGAAATTATTTACCCAGATTTTTTTTTACTCTTGTATAAATGAGAACCTGCACTGCAAATGGTGTAAGTCCTCCTGAGAGATACAATATAAAGTTAAGTGGGGATGGTGCCAAAATGACGAAGCTTACTGGCTTCATAGTCATCTCATTTTCAATTTTGAATTCTGGAGATGGTGTGATGTCTCCAAAAGGTTAGCCTATCCACATCTCATTGCACGCCGCTATGATGTTATTGTCCAATTTGTAAGATGGAATTAGACTGCGAACAGTGTATGTACACAGAAATTTCTAAATTCCAGGAAATTACACCCTTGCTATAATAAAGGGAAAGGACTGCTATGAGACCCTCAAGTCCTCATGTAGCAAAATTTTTAGAGATGTCAACAAAATTGTGGAAACTGGTGTGCTGCAGCTTGATGATGGAAATGAAGTCCCAATTGACATATATTTGGATGGAGACTATAAGGTGCAGTACTGGTTTTAAGGATTTTGAGAGTAATCAGTTCTACCAATCAATAAATAGAATTTTTTAATTGACATGTTTTTCATTTCTTCCCAAGTTTGTTTTAATACTCATGGGGATGAAAGGAGCAGTGTCTGATTACGCCTGTATCTGGTGTAAAATCCACAAGATGCTATGGTACAGTACAGAATGAAATATTACAATGAAGAATGCACAAATTATTGACAAAACTCATACCAGTGTCACAATCGTCCCATATCATTCACCAATTTAACAATATTCATTATAGGCATGATATGACAAAGCCTCAGGATTTTTATTGGACGATAGACATTAAAAGAACGTTAGAAGACATCAGACAGTGCTGCCTAAAGAAGCAGTTTTCATGTGACTGCCCGCCTCTGTTAAACATTCCGCTTGAGAATGTCGTCCTTGATGAGTTGATCCAAACGCCTAACAAAACATCAAAGTGGGAACCGTAAATTTCATTCAACGGAAACTTTAAATACATTCCTAACGGATATATATCTGGACGCTATTGATAAAAAAACTGTTACTGCTGTCATTCTTTTGGACCTATCAAAGGCGTTTGATAGTTTGAACCATCCTTTGCTCTTAAGAAAGCTCTATTCATTTGGAATTTCTAAACACGCTCTTGAGTGGTTTAAAAGCTATTTGACTGGCAGGATCCAGTCAGTACGGATTGATAGTGAATTGTCCGAACCACGTGAAATAACGCACGGTGTGCCACAGGGGTCAATATTGGGTCCAGCACTATTTAATATTTACATTAATGATCTACCTGGTGTTCTCAATACGTGCTTACTCGAGTCATTCGTTGATGATTCCAAATTGTTCTTGTCTTTCGCAGTGAAGGACGTGGAAAGTGCTAAAATCCAGTTAAATGAGGACTTGGAAAGAATTGCTGCCTGGAGCTGCCAAAACAGTTTGTTAATACCGATAAAACAAAATTGTTGTTGATAGGATCACCTCAAATGCTTAAGAAAATTCCAGCAAATTTTTGTCTCACACTCTTGGGGATGGAGATATATCCGGTATTATCGGTGAAAGATTTAGGCGTCACCCTCGATTCATGTTTGAGCTATGATAATCACATAACTGACGTAGTTTCCAAATGCACGGGAAGCTTATGTCAAATAAATCGTGTAAAACATCTCCTGACTAAGAAATCGCTTTTAACAGCTATAAATGCCCTCGTGTTCTCGAAACTTTATTACTGCTCGACCGTTTGGGCAAACACGTCAAAGCAAAATCTGAAAAAGTTACAGAATGTGCAAAATTTCGCTGCACGCATTCTTACGAATTCGAGAAAGTTTGATCATGTCACGCCGTTATTAAAAGAACTTCGTTGGTTGCCAGTAAATGCAACATTACTCTTCAGAGATACGGTGTTGGCATACAAATGCTTAAATGGCTATGCTCCTGAATATTTAACGAAAAGGTTCATTACAAGGTCGCAAATACATGAACGCGTCACAAGAAATAAGGATACTCTGAATGTGCCTTTGTATCGAACAGCGACAGGTCAACGCTCATTTTTGTTCAGAGCAGTAAAGTTGTGGAATGACTTGCCTAACAATGTTAAATCCGCGAATAATTTAAAGAGTGTGAAAAGTTTTAAAATAGCATTAAAAACATATCTGTTTAAACAATTTTTAAACGACTCTTAGTTTTTAAATTAGTTATCTATTAACATTAATATTGACTTCGTCTAGACATTTGTAATTAATATCTGAAAAGCCCTTTTGGGAGATGTTAAAGTTTTTTTAAATTAAATTAAATCCAACGTAACCAACGAAAACTTATTCAACAGCTGTGTAGGGTTTGATAAGATTGTTTCTCTTTCTCTTGATCCTGATAAAAATATCTGCTATGTGTTTAAACAACAGATATTGGCCATCATTCCACATCAAACGACTGCATGTGTGAACCTGACCCAGAGTTGTACAGACAGTTCTGTCCTGTCTTCATTAAATGTAGTATATTTGCAAAGAAAAAGACGAAGCGTGATGGTGCAAAAAGATTTATTGTCTTGTATACAACATCACACTTCTGATCAACAGCCAATTTAACATGGAGGTTGAATAAATTTCGACAAGACCAACCACCCAAAGACAGTTCCAAGGTGGAAACCACTTTCCAAAAAAATGCCATTAATTGGTATGAAGTGACATTTCCTGTAAAGAAAATGTGTTTTACATCAGTGCATAAACCTCTGACAAGAAATGCCAAAGCATGGGTGGCAGCAATGGTATCTTTCTCATCAAGACAAGCAAAATTTGTCATGGGATCGCCTAGATCCATAAACCCAACTAAGTCACCAGAGTTATTGTCAAACACAAGATCAGATTGAATTTTCATTTTCAAGTACAACGTATCATCGTTGATTCCCATTATTTATTCCTGCCTTTGGGGGGAAATAGTTCTTATAATCACATAGTATCCTTTCACTAGGTAACACCAAGGCAGCACTTTCCCAGAGCTCTCTATAGCCAGATGGCGACTTTCCAGGTAGAGATAGGCCAAATCGAATGATTTGTGGATGATATCTTCAACTGCAGCTGGCAGACTGAGGAAGTTTCATCTGTTCTTCCCAGAAGAACTTCATGTTTGTCCATCCATTATTTTACAGATGTCCTCCTCTAGTTGAGATTTGTCAATGCATATTCCATGTTCTTGAATGCATTCTTGGATTTCCTGCAGTTGGATTTCCTACAATAACACATATCACGTAGCTCCGCCCACTATCCAAACCATCCTATTTTTATTAGCTGTGACCAGACGTACTGCCATGTCTTGACTTTCTAATTTGATGTGAGTTCCAGTGTTCCTTAACCTTATTCAGGTCAGCCTGCAATAAACCAGCAAAACAAAACCATAATGCTTCCATGTGTATTTCACTGGTAAGATTGAGAGTATCAGACTCACGAGGGTCGTAAAAGAAGTCAATCCACCAACTGTTTTCTGAAAAGTGACCATTGGCACTCTTTGATTGCTAGTGCTTGAAACATTTATGCGCCTTGGAGGCAGCATATTCATCTGTACCTTCTGCACGTAAATAACACTGTATCCCAGCAATTAAACCATTTTCTGTACCGGGATCAGTATAAACTCTTGTTGGACATCCTCTGGATGCTTTTACATGTTTAAAAAATACTTGATCACTGCCCTTGGATTTTTGTTGGATCTCTGTACTATCGTTGTATATCTAAATGCTTTTTATTTAGGTTTTTACTCGATCAAGTGTTATATGTTATATCTCATAATATATTTATGCACGCCTATATATACATAATTAGTATTACTTAACTACCATGTCATGTCACATAAATACCATATAAGGATATGACAATCTCTACACTTCAAGCCAAATTATCCTTCTACTAAACCCATCTACACAATCGTGTACTGAAAAGCCAAAAGGCTTTAACTTGTCGTACCATATATGTGCCAGCAATGGTTAGACCCTTGCAAAATATACATTCTCTGTTTTAAACATCTACACTTTCTCCTTTCTGCACACCTTGACGATCCACTTCCTTTAAGATTCCTTGTATTAAGTTCCTTGGAACATTAATACCATGTCTAAGTTGAAGACTGTACCACATAGTTTGGTAGCCATTAAGACTATCTGGTCCATTCCCAATCTCTAATAAGATAATACCCCTCACTTGTCTTCCTAAATCATCGTTGACTTCAGATCATCTTCAACAACCATATTCGCTCAGGCTATGTTTCAAAGTTTCATCACAACATTATGATGCCATTTTGGTTTTCTCTTGTTTTGAAATCTCATGCGCGCGCACGATTTTAATTTTTTTTTTATTTGCAATATGCAAAAGTGTTTTTTATTTGCAGTGCACAAAAGTTTTTTTTATTTGCAGTGTGCAAAAGTTTTTATTTGTAGAATGAATAAAATAAAGCAAACAAAATGGCTTCTTTGTGTTATAATCTGGTTTTATTGCAGCATTTTCATCTTGTCCCTTCTGGGCCACCGTATCAAACACCACTGGTTCAATTGTGAACTGTTGATTGTCATTGTGTACACAAGCAGAACAAAATGCTGCCATTAACTTTGTGAATCAAGTGCTTGATAAAGACTAAATTTTCGTAGATAACATTCTAAATTAGACTTTTCAAATGCAATTACAATTGCGTTGACGCAAACAGATAGGTGGAGGGCAACAATTTACACAATAATCTTGTAGACATTGCATACACAAGATATAATTTCCATAGTTGTGAAGTGTTACTGATATCAGAGTCTTGAAATATATATATCTTTATATCATTCAACTCGTTTCAAATGCATTTACCCTTCAAATATCCATGTAATTGGTTTCCGGGAGTCTTGACTTTGTCCATATCATAGTTTAAGCAAAAATTTACATGTAAATATCTGATTTCTACCATAATTTAATATCAGTTTTGCCACTCGTTGCGTCAGCCATTGTTTATTGTTAACCCGCATTTCCTTCCCACCCGCAACATTCCTTTAGAGCGAAAGAACCAATCACAATCAACTGCTCAACCAATCTCGTACCCAGAGCCATCGTTGAGTGGCTCTGGCCACACAGGATTGAAAAACGATCCTGATAGGTCGATCCATATGCTATTGGTTTTCTCCAAAATAAACACACATACACAATAGGGGGCATGCCTCCCCCCCCCCATTGTCGAGACCTGTCAGAAAATTGGTAACGTTGTCTGAATCTTCGTGGTCAAGTACACCTGCATATACGCAAGGGCCGCCAAGTGATAGTTTGAAAAAATTGCTACAAAGGCAATGGACCATTTGCATTATAGACTAAATTTTGATCTCAACAAGTCTAGACAAAAATTTCTCACATCTTTAAAGAGCATCACAAAATTAGTAATATTGCAAAGTTTCGTTACAAAATGTTGTAAAATGCGGATAATATAGCCGTGCAAAGTTTGCCGTTTTTCAGTCGTTTTCTATTGCAAACGGGAAATTGACAGCCCCAAAGGTTATTGGGCTGTCTATTTCCCCTGCGTAATGCAAAGTGTCCATTGTAACATACTTGTCTGTAAAATTTTTTCCAAAAAAAGTTTTCGATGGGGGGAAGGAAACTAATTTTTTTACCAAAAAAGTTGTCGTATGTAAGGGGGAGGCAGGGGTAAACTAAAAATTTTCACCTGTTGAGTTTGTAAGAAAAATACTGACTTTGGCCCCCTCCCCTAAAACATGGGACCCACGGCGCCATTGTCTATTTCAAACCTTTCAACAGTGCAAGCTCATGCTTCTATATGTTTTGAGCCCTTCAGCTATTAGCTGTTACCTTCATGCTCACCTGACATGTTTGTTTGTCAATTTATAGCTACAGTAATTTTATGAATGAATCTCTCAGACTAGGACCCATACTGAAAAAAGCCTCTAAAAAATTCTAGCGGCAAACTGGAGGAAAAGTTGGTAAACAATTTAATCAGCACCCATAATTTTTGGGTGCTGATTACGAATATCTTGTTTACCATGCATGAATTTGCGTTTTAAGCCTGTTAATTAGCTAACTAGCATTAATCGAGGCTATTTAATGATTTTTCTATTTTTGTTGGTCATTAATTAATTAATTAATTAATTGATTAGCATAATTAGCATGTTTTGTGCAACTGATGCTTATCCAAATTTGTTACTTTCTGGTTTCTGGTTCAAAAGAAAGCACACAAATAGGTATATCAAGTGTCTTCTGTATCAAACATATATTTTGTCTTAAAAAAAGGAATAATTATCATGTGAACACTAATCAGCACAATTGCATGAAAACGAGGCTGTATTCACTATTTTCCTAACGGCAAGAAAAAATATGAATATAGACAATATATAGATAACCAAAAGATCTAAAATTAGCGTGAGAACAGACTTATCTCTATTTTTTGCTTGTCTATATACTGTCTAGACATTGTCTAGACACTATCTAAACACTGTATAGACTTACCTCAAAGTCAATAACAATGTTTCGAGGGAATTAATATTCGTAGTGGAAAATGTATTAGATGATGACAGCGACAATAGTGTAGAATATGCATTAAATTATGGAAGAACGTATTAGTTTAAAGTGATCCAAACCTGGTCCTTCCTACTGCGACTGCATTATTCTTTCAGGAATCTAAGCGAAATGTTCTTTACAGTGCGACAACACAAGGCTTGCTCTCACTAAAAGTGTCTCCCGAGGAAAGAAGGACATTATGAGATATTAAAAGCGCAGATACGATCGACAGGATTTTAAATGCAATGGAGGGTGACATGCAGAATGAATTTCACTGCAGTTTTCACTGATAAAGGTAAAATAAATAGATTAAAAATGTCTCAAAAGCCTAGTGCTGCCTCAATAGAGAAGCCGCCAGCGACCGTGTCAGGCCTGCAACGTAGTACTTCAACGACTGACTGGGAGTTATGCCTTTTCTGTCAGCAAAAACAATCCAATAAAGAAACATTGTGTTCCATTACGACCTTTAAAGTGAGTAAGCAGATTCATTAATGGTGCAAAATGCGATCACAGTCTTTCCATGCGTGTGCCAGGGGTTAATGATTTGATTGCAGTTCAGGGAAAGTACCATCCAAATTATTACAAAAAATTCCTCCGAAATGCATCACACTCGAAGGTGGAGGGTACTGATGAGAAGGGCGTTGTACTGGCATGGATTGTTAATGACTTAAAAAAGTCCGCCGAAAAGGGACATGTTTTGGAACTTAAAGAGGTGTTTTTTTTGTTTTTTTTGTTTCAACACTTAAAGACCTGGGTTTGCTACGTTATAGAGGTTCGCGTGGTGGGAAACGTAAAATCTCTGTCATTATTTCCCCTCGAGGCAGAGAAAGCCGCTCTGCCTGGGGTCATACAACCGGAACGGTGAATTGGAATAATTTGGTATCAATCAAATGTCATCCGGAAAACAACAATAATAAGACTTCTTCTCAATTACCTCATGTCCTACTTAGTAATATAAGATCATTAGTACCCAAGTTTGACGAATTGTCTACGTTTTTAATGTTAAACAAAGCGGACATTGTTGCCATTTCCGAATCTTGGTTGAATGAACAAATAGACTCGTTATTTGTCACTATCGCCGGGTATGATTTATATCGTCTGGATAGATTGAGCGGGCGTGGAGGCGGTGTTTGTGCCTTCGTTTCAGAAAACATACCATGCAAACGGTTACTTGATCTAGAAAACGCAAATTATGAATGTATGTGGCTATGGTTGCGACCTTATCGTCTGCCAAGGCCCCTCTGTGGTATACTCATTGCTGTTCTATATTGTCCTCCTGAAACATGTGCCGATAAACAGCGAGAATTTGTTCATTATTTAAGTGAAACTATTGATAGTGTCCGTGATTCATCAACAGATTGTGGAATAATTGTGCTGGGCGACTATAATAACCTGGATGTAAGTGATTTACTGAGTCAACACAGTTTAACCCAAGTAGTAAAAGATCCTACAAGACTTAACGCAACACTTGACCTTGTGATCACTAACATGCAGACATGGTATAATGATCCGACCGTAACAGCCCTAATAGGAAGCTCAGATCACAACACAGTTTTATGGTACCCAAAAGCCGCAACCAATAACCCTAACCAAAAGAAGAAAAAATGCTTTGTACGCCGCTTTCCCCAGTCAAGCATTATCGCATTTGGTAGGTGGTTAACTAACCAGGAGTTGTTACGTGATTGCACATCAACAGACGTTCATGAACAAACCCTCA